GGTTAGTAGAACTTATACTGCTTGTAAATGGTTCAGAACACCTTGTAAGCTTCTCAAATCCACATACATGTCTTTAGAATAAGTTCCAAGTACTTATAACCCCTATAAGCTCCCTAACGGGTTGAGGGAGTTAGATGGTTTATGGATATGTTTCTAAGAAGTTAGCTGAAGAGGTAAGTGGTTAATCGAAAAAGTTAAGGGGAAGCTAAGTGTTTCGTCAAGTACTTAACCCAAAACACTTAAGCACTTATCGGGCTTAGGAAGTGGTTAAAGAAGAGAATAGCTAAGTGGTTAGATATCGAGATGCGGCTTTTTATGTTTGTTTTGTCGTGTCTTGTTTCCGATTAAAACAGGCGAAGCACCGGGCGAGTTGTGTGCAAAACATACGGTTTCATTTTTGTGTTGCTGTTGTTTGCAAAACCCGCAAAGGTTCGTGTTCATGTTGTGTCTGCAGGCTGCGAGCCTGAGGGTTGCAGGAAGTTTGTGGTTTTAGGAGAATTGGGCTGCACCAAATGTTTTAAAAGCCTGCGGGCTGGGTGTTTTAAGAGCCTCGGGGCTGCATGGAGTGGCTTTAGAAGTCTCATGTTTTAATAGCCACTGGGCTGCTGGATTTAGAAGCCTCAGGGCTGCATGTTTTAATAGCCACTGGGCTGCACGAAATGGTTTTAGAAGCCTGAGGGCTGCATGTTGTAAAAGCCCCTGGGCTGCATGAAATGATTTTAGAAGCCTGAGGGCTGGATGTTTTAATAGCCGCTGGGCTGCACGAAAAGCTTTAGGGCTTCATGATCATTAATAGCCGCTGGGCTGCACGACAAGCTTTAGGGCTTCATGATCAGAAAGAGCCCCCATGGCTGGATATAGTCTGAAAAGCTTTAGGGCTGAGTGCATGATTCAATTTTGAAAGCCTAAAGGCTCATGCTTTAGAAAGCTTAAGGCTGGAAGGCAGCCTGGCGATTTTCTCCGCAATGAACAAGCTCCCGTCGTCCCTCGTCAGCTGCATGGGTGCAATGTTTTTTCCGGAAGAGCTTTTGGGCTACAAAAAAGCTCCTTCTTCAGAAGGCTTTGCCTGCAGACCATGTCGCTGCCGGTCGACGTTGTAGCGGCTGTTGAAGCCGAGCTGCAGAAAAGCAGCCCTCCCTTGTCGATGTGGAACAGCATCGTGCAAGTTTTGAAGCAGAGCAAGCTCGCTTGGACTGCAGTCCTAAGGGCAGATTCCTTGCTGGTCCATCCAGCAAACAGGGGCGGAATGGGTGTGAACCCACACGCTTGCCATGCTAAGGCTGCATCTCTTATGAAGACAGGATGGGATGCATCCTTCCTGCACAGCAGCTTCTGCTTCGAAGTCTCTGATGACCCAGCAGTTCGCCAAGCACAGTTCTCTTTCAACCAAGAGATAGTGTCCCAGAGTGCGGGCTTGCTTGGAGCCGTGGGCCAGCATGAGCGGCACCTGTCTGTTTCTGCTGGGCACACAAGCCAGTTTGTCAAGGCTGCAGCCCACGGATGCAGGACTTCCGAAGCCACACTGGCTGACTCCACAGGAAAGCTGAACGTGCAGGCTCTGTGCGAGGATGCCGAGTTCAAGAAGCTACTGCAAGTTGGGTGGACATGGACTGTGGTCGCGAACTCGGTTGAAAAACAATGGCCACAGTTGCCGAAATTGGCCGAACGTGCACTGAATGCGAGCAACAGTACATTCTCGGGGCCCAACGAGCTTGAGCTTTGCTTGTACTTGGTTGATCGCAGCAAATGTGAGACGACCAACTTGCAGGATGTGGCTGCAGAAGCAACCCAGGGTGGACCGCTTCACCACTATGCCAAGCACTTGGCAACTTGGGTGACCCAGTTCTCCAACCAGGCAGCCTTCCTCAAGTTCCTCGTGCCGTTCTCGAAGCAATTCGGCCAGAATGTGAACTTGGGCGAAGACTTTTGGACAAGCCTTGTCATGAACTTGCCCGAACAGTATCCGTGCCTTCGGTTGGCCTTCTTGGCAACGAACTTCACCAGCCACAGGGTGAGCAACGGATATGCTCGCCTCCTGCTCAAAAGTGACGTCGAGAAGCTCAAGAACAAGAAGCTGCAAAGCTTGGGTCTTGAAGCCGAAGAGCTCCTCTACAAGGCCTGGAACCGCATCGAAGCTTCGTTGCCCAGCAGTGCGAAGAACTTCGGTATCCTTTGCCTTCGCATCTGCTTGCATGTCGTGGACAAAGAGATACTCGGTATAGGCTTCCATTGTATGAAGTTGTGGCCTTTGTCTTTATGAGGCATGTTGCCTTGAACCCAAACAGAAACACAGATATTGACACATACTGGTGTCACTGCAAATCTAAGGAAAATGGGCCGTGAAGGCAAGACTTATGGCTCCTTGGCTGCCATCTACTGGGAGTTCGAAGCTGACTTTGCAGCCTCAGCTCCGCCAGCGGCAAAGAGCTCTCCAGCGGCTAGCAGTACGTCGGCACCACTTGTGGCCTTGGGAGAAGCATACGATCCGCTGTGGTTGGCACAGCAAAAGATGAAGTTGAAGAAAGGGCTCTTGTACACCTACGACGAAGGCCTGTGGCGACTCGTCGACCTCAGCAGTGACAAGCTGGTGCTGGAGGCGGCAGGTCTTTTTGAGACCGGTCAGGCAGAGATCGCGACTTCCGACTGCCTCAAGCTTTTGAAGCCGAACAAGTCCCCTGCCCCCTTCATCTTGAAGACAAGCGATGCTCTTGCGAATCATCCAAGTCGGAGCCTCCAGGCTGAAAGCAAGCAGGCTGACTTGTGGACCATGCTTTTGGCCGCAGCGGAAAAGCTGGAGAAGAAGGTCTTTGACATGGTGGGCATTGAGGCCATCTCCAAGAAGCTGTACACGAAGCAGAAGATCAAGGCTTGGGACTTGCTTCTCGTGCCCGTTACCGACACGGCTTCCAAGATCACCCTCCAGGCCCCCGGTTGCTTCCAGAAGCATGCTGTGCTGGAGGACAGTGAAAGCAGCATGTTTTTCGTCCTGCCGCCCAAAGCACTGAAGCTTGCATCTGACTTCTCCCTCTTGACCGGCAGCACGGCTCCATTCTGGTATGTGCCACATGACGATGACGACGGCAATCTGCACTTGAAAGCCGTGCAATTCCGAAGTTGCTGCATCTATTGCTTGACGAATCCCAAAGGGATTGAGAAGCACACTGAGCTTTCGTGCGGAGGCAGCTGGCATATCAGGCAGCCGGTGAGCAAGAAGGCCCGGACGAAGCAGTAACTCCAGAGGTGTCTGAAAGCGCCTTTTCGTGATTTTCTCGCCTGCATGAAAATGCAGCTCGCGATTCCATCCTTTATGCTGTTGAGCCATGAGGGCTAGACTGCTAGACCCCGAAACAGCTGAGTGGCTTGTTTCTGCAACTTTTCCGGAGCTCGAAGAAGAAAAGGCGGTTAGTCACGAACTCTGGTTGCATGAGCCTGCAAGAAATCTTTGCAAGGTTTGGCATGTGTGTCATGTGCCTTCTGCTTGATCGAAAGCATAAAGCGGCTGCTTGTGCATGGTGAACCCTTCTGAAGCCGGAAGTGCACGAGCAGATAAGGGAAGCCGTTGGCCAAACCATGTCGGTTTCCGTCCTTCGCAGTTACACGGTTCAGAAGGAAGGTTGCGAGGGCAAGTGGCTTGTGCCACATCAGATGATGAAAGATGTGGCCGGGCGGCCTTGGGTGCAGATCAGAGCCAGCTGCAAAGGACTTTGCAAGCTCCTCGGCGGCGGCCAGCTCACAAGCCCGAGTTTCAAGGGGTCGACTGGTTTGTTGCTTCTGCTGCAGCAGAGAAACGAGAAGAGCAACTTGCTGGTTGACGAGAAAAACTTGTTTGCCAACGAAGCAAACCCGCCGAACAAAAAGAAGAGGAAGGCTCAAGAACCAGCAGAAGCAGAAGGCCAAGAAACCGTTCGGTTGGACCTGGGAAGTTGGGGGGAGCTGGAAGTGCTAAAGGCCAAGAGAAAGAACCAAGACCTGAGCATCCCTTTGGAAGCAGCATCTTTCGAGATCTTCTTCGGCTTCATGCTCCAGCAGGGCATCTCCTTTGATGAGCCAACAAGGACTTACACGAAGTCCGGCCTGTACAGGAAAGGCTCATCGAAGCAACTCGAAGTTAAGGCAAGCCCCGAACCCTCGGAAAGCGAGCACGGGTCGAATGATGACTAGCTTCCTTGATGCCCGGCATGTTTTGTGACAGCGGCTGCTTTTTGTCTCCGCAAGTTTTCCAAGCGAAGGGCGGCTTCGAAGCTGATCGTTGGAGCTCTTTTAATGCGGGCACATGCTTGCTGCAGAACTTTTGCCATTACTACAAATTTCGAGCAGCTACGACCTTTCACTTTCCGGAGAAGAAAGTCTTCTGAGGGCTGCATGAAACATGTGTTTTAATTTTGTGAGATTTTCGCTGTCATGCATGTGTATGCACAAAAATGAAGAAGCCAGTCGGGCTGCATGTCACATGTTTCATTGTGTTGAAGCAGAAGCCAAGCGGGCTGCATGTCGGTGAAGAGGTCGCAGAATCTTTTTATTCAGCAGCAACCTTGCTCGAACAGCACGAGAACCCGTCACCCCACAAGGCCCTTGTAACTGTGGAAGAGTTTAAGCCCTACAGGCCCAAGTGTTTCATAGCTATGACGTCCTCTCAAGGCACAGAAACACAGCTTGTCGGTGTTCACAGCCTTGGTTGCCGGAAGCAAGCCATAGCTCGTGGTAGCTACAAGAAAGCCATGGCCGGGTGCTTTACCTTCAACAACACGGGCTGTGTTGTGCTAGGCCTGAAGCCTGGTGTGCAGTACGTGACACCAGAAGAGCGACTGGGACACAAGAAGTTTAGAACTCCAATCCCAAAACCCCGAAACCTTGAACTTTCAAGGGTCAAAGGACTCGTGTCTTACAGACCCAAACTTTAAAAAGCTTTAAAACTGAAACCTTCAATCCCAAAGCTAGGTCTAAAAACCTAAACCCTAAATCCAAAACCCTTAACTTTAAGCACCAAAGCGAAAGCCCTATTTATATATAAGCCCTGAAGCCTCAATTTTCAAACCCTAAACCCAAAACCCCAAACCTTGTCTCTCCTGATATGAGACAACCCAGCCAGGTTGACTTTGATGGACTATAAGGGCAAATACTATGCCACCGGCCGCAGGGAGAACAACTGCAATGTGTGGAAACTGGAGAGCCGGGACCGAGTTGCTTTCCTGTGGTTTTCCGCACAGCACGAGGCGTTCTTCGTGGCCAACGACGTGGTGCAAGACAGGGACGGCAGCTGGGAGGACGTCACCGTGCTTTGCAGGATGGACTTGCGAACCGGACATGATGGGCCCGAGGCTGGTGCAGTGTATGTGCCCTGGAATGCCTCTTTCAGCTCCGAGGTGTTCTCCTGCAGTGCTTTGGAGAAGCAGCAGGACCAGCTTGGCTGGAATCTCTCCTCGCAGGTCGAAGAGCTGAGGAGCAGCTTGGCGGTGACCCAGCAGAACTTGGATGGCGAAAAAAACGCAGCTTTCGCAGCCAAGCAGGAGCTGGCAGCAGCCGAGCAAGCAGCTGCGATGGCTGAAGCAGCTGTGACAGCTGCCAAGGCTGAGCTGGCTTCTTTGAAGCAACAGCACTTGCAACAACAGCAGCAGCAGCA